TGATTCGATTCAGCTTATCGAACTTCACTTACCAGAATTACCCGAACTTCCTCCTCATTACCATACGACTAATGGTCTCCCGCCCCATCTCAATCACACCCTTAAAAAGGCCCTGAAAATGTCCAAACCAAACTTTTCAAAAATCTTGCAAAATCTGAAACCTGATTTGGTGATTTATGACATAATGCAGCAATGGGCTGAACGTGTCGCGAATGAACAGAACATTCCAGCAGTGAGGCTACTAACTTTTGGTGTGGCTGTGTTATCATATTTTTTTAACTTAGTAAAGAAACCAGGGGTTGAATTCCCTTTCCCTGCTATTTATTTCAGCAAAATTGAACAAGTAAAATTGGGTGAAATGATGGCCAGATCTGCTAAAGATCAAGAACCTGATGACGATGATCAAACAGCTGATGGAACTACACAGATCGCGTTGATGTGTACCTCTAGAATTATAGAGGCCAAATACATAGATTTTTTGTCTGAATTAAGCAATTGGAAAGTTGTTCCAGTTGGTCCACCAGTCCAAGATTTGATCACTAATGACGCGGACGACAAGGAGCTCATGGATTGGCTAGGAACAAAAGATGAGAATTCAACTGTATTTGTCTCCTTTGGGAGTGAGTATTTCTTGTCAAAAGAAGATATGGAAGAAGTAGCTTTCGGGTTGGAGTTAAGTAATGTTGATTTCATATGGGTCGCAAGATTTCCAAAAGGGGAAGAGCAAAATCTCGAAGATGCTTTACCAAAAGGTTTTCTTGAAAGAATTGGAGAAAGGGGAAGAGTTTTGGACAAATTCGCACCACAACTAAGAATTCTAAATCATACGAGTACGGGAGGATTTATAAGTCATTGTGGTTGGAATTCAGTAATGGAAAGTATAGATTTCGGGGTCCCTATAATTGCCATGCCTATGCATCTTGATCAACCAATGAATGCTAGGTTGATCGTAGAATTGGGAGTTGCGGTGGAGATTGTTAGAGATGATGATGGCAAAATTCATAGAGGAGAAATCACGGAAACTCTTAAAGATGTCATAACAGAGAAAACGGGGGAAAATTTAAGGGCCAAAATGAGAGATATTAGCAAGAATTTGAATTCTATAAGAGGTGAAGAGATGGATGCTGCTGCTCAAGAGCTAATCCAATTTTGTAAGATTAGTACTAATTAACATAATTATATTGTATGTGAGTTTTTTCATGTTCTTGTTGATGGTCAAAATACATTAAGATTGAAATAATGAGAGGAAAAAAAAAAGGTTGTAACCTATATATTGATCTTACAATTCAACATTTTCAAATATGACTTTGTTTAGCTTTCAATTCCAATTCTCAATAGTAACAACTAATAAGTATGGCCAAATGTCGACTCAAACAACATCACATGGGGCACCCAAACTATATATTACTTGATTAAATTTAGCATTTGAAACTTATCTAAAACATGCTATGATAATATTCCTAAGATGATCACCGATGAGGACAACTTTCTCTTAATGAATTTTCCTTCCATGGAAGAGGCCAGAGGTCCTGATGGATTTAATGCTAACTTTTTCCAGCACAACTGGGACATCACTGGCCATGATATTTATCAGATGATCCTGGAGGTTCTAAATGGTGAAGAGCTTAGTAAATTCATATCTCATACATGTCTCATGCTGATTTTCTAAGGTTGATAATCGACAAAGTGGTTTCATCAAAGGTAGGAGATAATGTTCTTCTTGCTCAAGAAATTATCAGTTGTATTAGGAAGAAGAGTTCTGGGGATAATGTTGTTATCAAGTTAGATATGAACAAGGCTTACGATAGGCTTTCCTGGACTTTCTCAGAACAATGGATCTACAGTACCATATGGAATCTTATTTCTAATATATAGTATTCTATCATTTTTTTTCAAATCAGAGAGAGGCTTAAAGCAAGGTGACTCTATCTCTCCTTCTTTGTTTATTATTGCTGTTGAGGCTATTTCTAGAGCTCTAAATCTCCTCTAGGATAATCATGAGTTCTCTGTATTTTCTATGCATAAGAAAGGCCAACAAATAAATTATTTGGCTTATGTTGATGTTGGGTTCGAAAGTGATTAGGGCGTCATGTGGAAGCTTACAATTGCATATCATATGGTTGATAAATCAGATGACAAAAACTTATACTAAAAACATAATATTATTATATGGTTTAGCCAATCGGCATACATATGAAAAACTAATAAAAAGAAAATATTAAAACGTTGAGGGAAAATCTCTCCATAAACAAAACTCTTCATTGACTATATTGTGGATGTTTTTTGTGTTCTGCAATGAGAATAAGGATTTTCAATTTAAAGATCTCCAAATTTTTCCTCTAAGGAAAGAATAAACCAAATATGGAAGAAAATTATATTTTCCTTTTAGGAAAAGTTAAGCATTTATGATAATACTTTGATTTTTCTTCAAAAGAAAAATAAATTTCAAATAAGATAAGAAAATCATCGCAAAACCCTAACAATGACCTCATCATCTTTACTTCTGGTAAGACCAAATCTCTTAAGATTATCAAAACAAAATCCTACCTGATTATGAAAGAGCAATTCTGGACAAAAAGTCCACACTATGAAAAGTTGTTTTCTTGTTAGTCAAAAAACATCTCAAAGTAGAATCAAAATTATTGAGAGACACCTAAGATACAAGAGGGAATTTTTTTCCTTTCGATTATTTGGGATGCCCTATCCATGTGGGGAAGAAGAAGATTGAATATTTCTCTGGAATGATCACCAAAATTATCAGGATTTGTATATAAGATGGATATATACAAATCGCGGTTATATGTACCTCTAGAACTATAGAGGCTAAATACATAGATTTTCTCTCTGAAGTGAGCAATATGAAAATTGCTCCAGTTGGTCCACCAGTCCAAGATTTGATTACTAATGGCGCGGACGACATGGAGCTCATGGATTGGCTAGGAACAAAAGATGAGAATTCAACTGTTTTTGTCTCCTTTGGGAGTGAGTATTTCTTGTCAAAAGAAGATATGGAAGAAGTAGCTTTCGGGTTGGAGTTAAGTAATGTTAATTTCATATGGGTTGTAAGATTTCCAAAAGGGGAAGAGCAAAATCTCGAAGATGCATTACCAAAAGGTTTTCTTGAAAGAATTGGAGAAAGGGGAAGAGTTTTGGACAAATTCGCCCCACAACTAAGAATTCTAAATCATACAAGTACGGGAGGATTTATAAGTCATTGTGGTTGGAATTCAGTAATGGAAAGTATAGATTTCGGGGTTCCTATAATTGCCATGCCTATGCATCTTGATCAACCAATGAATGCTAGGTTGATCGTAGAATTGGGAGTTGCGGTGGAAATTGTTAGAGATGATGATGGGAAAATTCACAAAGGAGAAATGGCGAAAACTATTAAAAATGTCATAACAGAGAAAACAGGGGAAAATTTGAGGGGCAAAATGAGAGATATTAGCAAGAATTTAAAATGTACAAGAGGTGAAGAGATGGATGTTGCTGCTAAAGAGCTCATCAATTTTCTTAAGAACAGTGCTAAGTTGAATTAATGTCATATGTTATAATTCAATTATATTGTGTGCGAGTTGTTTCTTGTTCTAGTTGATCTTCGAAATATGATGACATTGAAATAATGAGAAAAAAATATATAGTATATTCAATCACTTATTTTACACATCTTTTAAGAAATATTTGATTAAAAGGATTTTAAAATCATTCTACTCTTATTCATGTATTTTTTTACTTGAATATTTCTAATGTCATCAAAATGCCTGGAGTTAATATCTTATAAGGTTAGTGAACTAAGAAAAATTATCTAGAAAAGTCATTGATACAAAATAAAATTTAGTGACTTTTTAAGATATTAACTCGGATGTAAGTGCAATGAAGTTTAATTCTTGTTTATCAATATTTTTTTCTTTTTTTTTTCTCTTTATGAGGTGAAGGTTTAAGTAGAATTAGAAGAATGAAAGAGATAGATAAGAATTGTTAGACAATTCCTAATACTCTATTTGTCTTAAATTATTTGTCCTTTTTTTATACGCCTCTTAAGAAATATTAATTATTATTTTTCTCTTTATGAGGTGAAGGTTCAAGGAGAAAAAGAAGCATGAAAGAAACGGATAACAATTCTAAGACAACTTCTACTACTAGGTCCGTCTTAAATTATAACTCGTATTCTTTTACACGTTTCTTAAGAAATGATCATTAGAAAGGTTTGAAAATTATTTTACTTTTATTTAGGTATTTCTTATTTGAACTAGATGAGAAATTCTAATTTCTTACTTTAAAATTAATTTTAAAATTATCTTATTTATTTTCTGAGTCAACACAATTTGTTTTCTCTTTGATAGAGTTTGAGTATGTTTGCCATGTAATTGCTCAAGAAAGATTATAGAGTCAAAATTTTGTATGTGATAATTTTTGTTATAGCTCATAGGTCTTTTAGTTAATTGAAAGAGGGCCTTTTGGTCGATAATAAGTTATTTTGAGATAATTATTCAAGATAAGTTATTTCATCATGTATGTGAGATAATTTATCTAATCACTATGATATAAATGGTAGAATAAATATTTGGGAAAATGCATAAGTACCCCCCCAGCCTATGCATTTATGGACTACCTATTACCTCAAACCAAAATACAGAATAAAATAATCATGTCTGTTATCCATGAATTATTATACCTTATACCTCACACCAAACGACTCATAAATCTTTATAACGGAAATATAATCCTAATAAACTTTAACTTTGTAATATTAATTAGGTGCAAACATTATTACATATTTTACCAGTATAATAATTTTTTATATGAAAACAAATTCTAAAATAATTAAATATTTATTGACATTGTGATACTGCTTTACTATAATCCTTTTTAATATTTTTAATTTGTTAAAATTAGTTGTGTTATATTATTATTATGCTCGTTTGTTCTTTACCTTATTATCTAGAGTGTGTTTTCATGTATCAATACAAAGATAATTTTGACATTTGATATCAGTGACGAGATTTTGTTCACTACATTTAATTTTGCTCCTCAGTTGTTAGTGTGATGGTGAGTTATCATATTCCTCTTTAAGTAACTTTTAATCTTAAAAAGATTATGTTATTTTTAAAATTTTCGTACTTAATAATATAACATGCACACAATAATTTTATTTATATATATATATTGATAGTCAGTTGTTCAATTTCTCCTATTTAATTCACAGTATTTTATTTTATTTTTGAAGGCTAGGTATTGTGTTCATTTGATGGTGCGTGAGAGCTTGGTAAATTATTTGATTTATAATGGCAAATGCAACATATTTTCTTTGACAACGACAATGCCAATTCATAAATATAGTGTAAACCAACATTAGAGAGAAGAGAAGATCAATGCATAACGTTTGACTAAATACAATATCATAGTTTTATTCTTTTAAGTTATATCAAGGATGTATCACAATACTAACTTATTGATCGTATTTTAATTTTTAACTCATAATTCAATGCGTACGGTGTAGCTACTTTTAGATGTATAATGATTAACCACTATAAGATCAGAGACGAATCTAGGATTAGAAGGCGACGGAGGCACTACTAAAGGCGGATGTGGGTTAGTCGAAGCACCGACACTTCAACGAAAATGTATGATTATAAATTAAAAAAATCTAACATAATCGAGTGTATACTTTGATATTGCTTGTTCGAATCTCACTTGAGCTTTTTTAATACCCTTAGTGTATACTTTAAGATTGCTAGTTCGAATCTCGAACTCAGGAAACACAAGTTGCTAAGAAGCACAACGACCAGGTGTTGGACCACTACACCAACTCAACTTATATGTTTTACCGTGCACATTTAATTATATAATCCTTAATTAAGAATATACACGTATATACACTGTTGACACCCAATTTTGACCCTCCCCGATAGTAATTAATTCTCAAGCTTCTTAATTTTTTTAAACGATTTAAAATAATTAGCTTTATATAATTCAAAATAGTTTCAAGGTTATGTTAAGTAATTCCCGTCTATTTTTATATTATTTGGAATGATAAATACATTTCATGTAATTTTATATATAATTAGTATATTTTATAAACATTTCGAAAATCATTTCAAAAAGACTTTAATTTTAGTAAGTATTTTATTAAATTAGTTTAGTTTAAATTGTGGTTATAATTTTGAATCATTGATTTACAATTGATTTAATTATTTTATATCGTTAAGAGTAAGAAGCTCATTAATTAATTTATATTAATTCATCTTATTTAGTTATTAGCCAAAATTCCCTAAAACCCATTTGTGATAAACTAAAATTGGGCCCTATTTGCAAATTTCAGCCAACCCAAACCAACTTTGGCCCAATTTCCTTTATGCCAATTCAATTAGCCCAACCTCAACAGCCCACCCATTTCCTTGCCCAAATTCAATTCCAACAATACCCATCAGACATACAGTGACATATACGTACAACAACACACGCGACCCCACTTCCCAAATTCATCTTCTCCACGGCAAAAACAACGCAGTACTGTTCCAGCGCCATTTCCAGCCAAGAACCGTCCTTGGGGGCGTGGGATCGAGCCACGTTCCTCGCCAAGGACATGGGAATCGATCCCAACCATCCTTCTACCCTTCCTCTTCCGGAAATGGCCAAAATTTCAGGAAAAAGTTGTCTTCCTTTAATGGTGAAAGGTTTTTTTAAAATTTGAATTTCGAATGGAGCCGATTCTCATCCGGTTTCCCCCCCAAAATCCGAACCCTAGTTTTCTTCTATATATTCCTCTTTATGCATTGTGAAAAGGGAGGAGATTTTGAGTTTGTTTAAAAAATAATAATAATATATAAGAATACATATACAAAATCAGTAGCTATCGATGACATTTTTGCTTTTTGTGGTCGCTGCTTGCAAAGCTTGCCGGAATCTCGGTGGTCTTGAAGTTGTTGCTCACTCTCTGCTCGTAGCTGTCCCGGTTCAGCTGCTCGGAAAAAGGTAATATCATTTTCCCTTTGTTAAATTCCTCTCCATTTCGTGTTTCCATTGTTTGAGGCTTTCGATTTCGATTATGTTGCTACTGTTCGCTCGCAGATTCCTTTGATGTCGATACCGAGTTGTCGTTTTAGCACCTGAATATAGTTAATTGTTATCCATCCTGCTGATAGAATGTGTTATTGATTTAGTTTAAGCTTTGTTTTGATCAAATCTTCCATGTTTAGTCTACGATTACTTACTGTTTGAATTCTTTGATGTCGCCTGCCTCAATTTCTTTGCATCTATAGTTATCATTTTTGTTTCGAATCATTTCTCTTCAAGTCGCCTCTGTTAGCTTTCCGAAGAGTATTTACTTTGCCCGTTTTGCTTTAACTTATTCATAGCCTTTTCCTCGTTTTATAATCTGATTCATGTCACAAGTAATTATAATTTTGCCGAGCCTGTGAGTCTTTAAATAGTGTTTCTTGCAAGCATATTCTTGCCCCTCCCCCTTAGTTTAAAATGTGGGTTGCATTTGTTTCACTTCTCATTCTTTGTCTTATTTTTATTTATTTAGATCGGTAGTTATATTGCCTTGGGAAATTATTGTTTTCAAGTTGAATTTGGTTGTTCATTTGCCAACAAGTCTCTGTTTCTCTTAAACGTTGGAACTAGTACTAAAATTAGCTTCCAATGACCCATTTATGCTTATGGAAAAGGTTTAGTTAATTGGTTATTGATTTGGACGTATGGTTTTAATAAGTATATAATACGGTGTTTATTAATTGTCAAGTGGTATTGTTATCAGTATGTTTTGCTCATTCATTGATTAAGTTTTAGTCCTAAGTTTCCTTTGTTACAAATATGCATTGATCTTTTTCTTTTTTGTTGTTTCATGTGATCTCGAGTGCGTTCCTCGAGCTCCACTGCCTCCCTTTCTTTTCCATTCCAAATGGGCCATTGAGGCCTAATTGCATTTCCTCGAGCCTTATTTGAATCTGAGTCCCAATGGACTGATGTATGACGCAAGGAATGTCGATCAATAGCTTGACTACAGGGGCTGGAAATCAGAAATGTGCTCTGGAAAGCTAAAAGCAGGCTGTATACAGCCGTATACACTGATATGCATGGCAAAAATACCAATATACAGGTTCAAAAAATAAAATGCAGGTTGCAGGGGTCAAAATAGACTGAATATACTCGGTATACAGTCCGATATACACAAAAACGTGCCTGAATACGACCCATATACAATGATATACCTTTGCTGTATACACAGGCGTTTGGGAGCGAAAATGGGTCCAAAAACGGCCCAGCAGCAAAATTTTTAATTAAATAGGCCCAAATTCATGTTTTGGGTCATTTTTAGTGTTAGGACAGGTTCACGAGTTTGGGTCAGAGGCCCAATTAATATTTCTTCCCTCCGCTCTTTACCTATTGTATTATTTGACTAACTTTACTTGATTATGCTTTAATTTAATTAAATTCCCATGGATAGCCATTCCAACTTTTAACACGCCCCAATTAAAATACTTGCATCTTGCTCTATATTTTTATTAGTCATGTCATTTAAACTATCCCCCTT